CTGCGCAGATCAAAGAAGAGGTTGCTCCAGGTGAGGCATGCACTCCGCCGGCGCTGACGAATCCGACCGGTGATGACATGCCCGCCACAGATGATGGGATGCCTGAGGGTACTGCAGAATCAGATGCCGCCAAACAGGGTCGCGATGACACCGCCGCCGCCATGGCGGAGATCAACGCCGTCGGCTTCCTCGCGATCACCGACCCATGCGACCCAAACAACGACGAGACAGTTGCACATTACTGCGACAACGTAAAGGAAGAAGATGGGACCGATCGCTGGACATCGGCCCCTCTGCTTGATACGGCCACGTTCAAAATCGTGTAGATTTGCGATGTCATGCGAGCCGACGACAGCGAGACCCTCAACACGTTGCGCGAGTACGAGTTTAGCTTCGGGATTGCCAGAGACATACAAGCTCTATATTGGTCACATGTCCACATGGCCCACTTCGTTGCATGAGATCTGAGGTCCGAAGCACTGCACCACCGCGTTGTTAGATGAATCGACTACGACGCGCGCCCCAGTCCACCATTGGCCTGCACCAGTGGCTCTCCGGAGTGTACGCCAGCATGCTCGCCGAGGCGAAGGTGCGCGTCGCGGGCACGGACGAGCAGAATATCCACGACAACCACCCTGGATTGTTGTTTTCGCAAGAACGATGGAAAAAAAGTCAATCTCGTCGACTCCAGCATTGTTCTGGACCCTGGACCCAGTCCTGGCCCTGCGAGCGCGGCATCAGCTGCCGCGCCCTCCCAGGGCACCCTTGTCCAGGTACATCGAGGGTGGCATTCCTCGAGCCCTCGGGCCAGCTGGCGAGGGCGTCTTGCGGAAGGAGGCGCAGCGTCTCCTCGCACTTCCTCAAAAAGAAGGCACGGCCTCAGACGGGGCTGCCGATCCCGATCGCGGTCGGCCCGATCCAGTCTCGAAGAGTGCCTGGCAGGCCACGGGCCGCTCGCTCGCTGCCGATCCCACCCGCGAGATTGATCGCTCGAGTCTTCAGAGTCCTGGTAAATCTGCGGTCGGCGCCGGTCGCCGCGAGACCCGCGATAGAGCCGTCGAGGTCGGAGCGCCTGAACAGATGCAGATGCCGGGCCCTCGATGCGGCAAATGCCGCCGCGACTTCTCTGCCGGCAAGCGCGACCGATATCCATGTTCGCCATGCCTTCGCGCGAGAGACTTCGGCGCGCGGGGCGTCGCAGAGATCGCCTGCGTGGCGGGTCTCAACTTTCGGGTCCGCAACGCCCCCTGCCCGGCCCAGGTTGACGAGCTCCTTCAGGCCGACGCATGGATGCGCTTGTTGGGCGCTCGTTTTGACTATGCTCGGGAAAAGGACTGGCTTCGGAAGCGGGCGAAATTGGCGTTGGATAAGCATGGGGTCCGGGCGCGGCCGACCCCCGCCGCGCGAGTGGGCGCCGGGCCCCTGGTGGCCCCCGTGCAAAGACCCTTTGTTCTCCATGCGCCGTCATCATCGACCGCTTCGACAGTGGCCCCGCGCCCCATTTCTAGGCCGCAGCAATGCGCGCCCAAAGGGGCCAACGCGCGTTCACCACGCAGGATATGCATAACGCTGTCTGTTTCCACGTAGCAAGCGTTAGGCAGGATATGCTGGTAGACAGGCGTGGGCCACGAATCACGGCGCGCGGCGCTTTGTCCCGTCAGCAGCGCCCGGGCGCAGGCCGCGTCGCCATCGCCATTCCGGGAGCGCGGTGCCTGCGCTGGCCCGCGCGACGATGCCGCCGCCCTCGCTGCGCCCATGGCTCCGGCGCCCGCGGGATGCAGAGCCGCTGGCAGTGGCGACGCAGCGTTGCTCCTGGCCGCCGGCGAGGCTGCCGACGCCCGCGCGCCCACGACTCCACCGAAACGCAAGCGACTCCATCCATATTCTGCACGGTGGGGAGAGAACATCGAGGACAGCATTTGGGGTCCAAGGCATTGATCAGAAACATATGGTGCATGCATATACATCAGCGACGACAGCGAACATTATTCGGGGCCGTTTTTTTGGCAGGATGGCCCCAGTCAATGGACTCGCGCTGACACAGCCCGATATTGCGATGGCCATTGGGATTGGCATTGCAATCGTGGAAGTGGAACTGCATGCGCCTCACGCCTGAGTGCTTGCTTGACTTGCACATGTCCATGCCTTTTGTGTCGGGCGCAATCCCCGCGACTCTGCGCGCCCATTTTGTTCGCATAAAGGTGCCCGGGCAGGTCGCGACGCGTAAATGCGGGACATACTATCTGACGGTCGAGAAAGCCGGCTTGTGGACAATATAAAGTGGATACATTTGCAAGTGTCATGGAAGTTCGGACACATACAGACCAGTGGCATGCGATGATGCGTATCTTCCATGACCCAATCGTATAGCCAATGTTAGTATATGCAACCTCGTCTTGCGGGCATTCAGCTGCTGTGGGACACCAAACGTCACTTGATGAGTAATTGACGATGCGCGCACTGACTGGACCATGCCTTGAGTTTGTCTGTCATATTGAGTTTTCACCGAGCGGTACTTTTGATTATTCCCTACTCAGGCTCTGCCTAGAAGGGTTCTAACTCGGTAGCTTAAAGGCCGGGCAGTGGGGCCCGCCCCGGGCGGTTCCCCCAGTATCCGCCACGCGGTTTCCCCAGTGACGTTCCCTTATCTTCGCGTTGCTTATCTCGTCTTAGCTTAGCTTATTTCATGTTACCTTAGCTTAGCTTCATCTTACCTCAGTTTTATCTTAGCTCAGCATGCCTTCATCTTAGCGTCGCTGAGCTTTAGCATAGCATAGCACATCATAGCATAGCGTAGCATAACATAGCATAGCGTAGCACAGCATAGCGCAGCATCGCAGATCAGAGCATTGGTGTAATCTTAGCTTAGCTTACCTTCATCTTAGCTCCGCCGAGCTTTAGCATATCAGCGCACTGCATAGCATAGCAGAGCGTAGCACAGCATAGCGCAGCACAGCATGTCATAGCAAAGCCCATCATAGCATAGCATAGCATAGCGCAGCACAGCAAAGCATAGCATAGCACAGCGCAGCATAGCACAGTGCAGCATAGCACCGCGCAGCATAGCATAGCACAGCATAGCATAGCCTAGCATAGCCTAGCACAGCATAGCACAGCAGCACAGCAAAGGTAAAGCAACAGCAGCGACAGCCAAGCAAAGCACAATCAACGCACAGCAAAGCAACGCTGAAGCACAAGCAAATCAAATGACAGGTTAGCTTAGCTTAGCTTAGCATAGCGCAGCGCGGGATTAGCATATCATAGCATACCATAGCCAAGCATAGCATAGCATAGCCTAGCGCAGCATAGCATAATATCGCATTGCTCAGCATAGCATAATATTGCATACTATGGCAAGCGTAGTGCAGCTTATCATATCATGGCAGAACATATCATAGCATAGCACAGCACAGCATGGCATATCATAGCTTATCATATCATATCATAGCATAGCGCAGCATACCATAACATAGCACAGCGCAGCGTAGCATGGCATATCATAACATAGCATCGCGTAGCAACTAGTGCTGCTTTCCTAGGGGCTCCAACCTCTATGTAGGGTCGCACTGGGGTAATTTATATTGTCTCTAGCGCTGCACATCAGGATTGATCATGAGCGAATTGCCTGCCTCACTGTGGCAGATGCGCAAGTGGCGCATCGGCTCAAACTCGGTGCGATCAGCCTGCCTCGTTGTGGCAGGTGCGAATGTGGCGCACGGCCTATTGTTCTGACGCATCTACTTCTTTTGGCTGGTGGAAACACCTGCGCCGCCGACGCCGTTTGGTCGTCCGCCTTGCTACCCGCCAGACTTTTGCCTTCTCTTCCCTTCACTCTCTCTGTCGCGGCCAATTCCTTGGCTTCCCTGAGTGTCCTAAGCGTTCGTGGGGGCCCGCGCCAGGAAGGGCTAAATGCCCCTTTCAAGGATTTGGGGTACTTGAAAGGTCATTTCTCTTCTCACTTGCCGACTGGGGTTCTACAGTGCGGTGAGTGGTGCGATGGGACGCACACTTCTATCCCGAAGCCCTTGCCCGCTCGCGTTGTCATGGGACATGCTCTCGGGCGAAATTCGGGACTGCGTGTGTGCGTGCCCCCCCTGTTCTCCTCTTCCCCCCCCCTGCCCGCTGACCCTCCTTCCGCGCGCAGCGATGGCGCTGTGGCTGCGACCTGCAGCCGCCGCGCACGGGGACCCAGGCCTGGTTTTGCCGCCCGCCACCCCACGCTGGCCCAGCATGTTGGTTGATGCGCCCCACCATTCATGCACTTCTACTTGCCGCGCCTTCCGCGCACCCACCTCGGCGGCGCGCGGCCCGCGGGCCATGCGCTTCTTGCTCCTCGTCGGCTTCGTGGTGTTTAACTTGCAGTGCCCGTGCCGGGCCCCACCTCAGCTGGAACCCCGGCGCAGCACCCGCCTCGGTCCCCGCCAGCGGGGCTGGCCGCGCCAGCCCGCCTTGGGAGTGACGCGTCCCCACTGAGTGGCCTTCGCTTCACCACCACCCCTTGCGGCCGCCCGCTCCGTCCCTCCTCCGTTTCCTCCTCTTGCACGCTGGCCAATTCGCTACAACGGTGCCCCCGTTTAGTTAGCTTCTTCCGCCGTGCAGACGACCCTTGCGTAGCCACCGGCGCGAAAAATGCGTGCGTGTGTTTGTGTTATTGCGTGTATGAATTCATTTTCTCTCCCACTCCTACCTGTCTCGACCGCTGCTCCTTTGGTTTCTGGTGCTAGCTTTCTTAGATCTCTTCCAGCGACGCAAGATTGTGCAGCGTCGAGGGATACACCATTTCATCGTTGTCATCCATCCTCTACCAACGGATTTCCTTCGGACGGACGATTCTGGCTCTTCGGCACCCGATCCCCGTTTACACCGGCGTCGCCATTCACGATTTCGTCGTTTTCGTTGGCGTCCCTGTTGTCGTTTTCGTCGTCGTTCCCGCTGTCATCTTTCGTCGTTTTTGTTGTCCTCGTCACTATCGTATGCCAGCTCCCCCTCATCGCCTCGAGGACTGGGCTACGCAACGGCGCGAGTTCGCCGACGACGTGTCGATGAAGAATTGCCTCGGCGACATGCACCGGGCCGCCGGCGTCATCGCCCCCGCGAGCGGAGCTGTCGCCAGGGGCAACCTTGACGGGGTGACAGGAACAGGGGGATGTGATTTCTCCTATCCGGGCGATTTTCTTTGATTTCAGTACTTTCGGGCTGGCTATTTGAACCCAGGGTCATCAAAACAAAGGATCCGGAAAAGGAAATTTACCCAAGGGCCCAGAGGAAAATGTCGAGATCCTTGGGAGCGCGCGTTGGAAAATTACATCTTCGGGTGTTTGTCTCAGGGGATGGAAGCATCACACCACGATCGCCCACTCATTACCGATAGGGGCCCGATAGCTCACCCTGCCCAGAACCGTCCGTCGTTATCGGGGGCCCATCGCCGATTCGGAGGCAATGCGTCGCCGATTTCAGGCCGATGTTTCCTCCCCCCTGAGACAGTGCCCTCGATTATGCCCCGTCAGGTCGTGGGCCTCATCGGCCTCTCGGCCTACGTCAGCGGGAGCTTCGGTGAAGGGATAAATGTGATTTCGATACCCGTTGAGCCAGTGTGCAGGCGCCTGCACAATTTCCGATTCGTTTGTTTGTTTGTTTCCTCCTGTTCCCCGTTCTCCTCCCCCTCTTCCTTCTTCAGCTGCCATGACGGCTTAAGACAAACATAAGGCAGCAGCAGCACCCACTCTCCCCACACATTCTGTTTGGGCCCGCACATTGCTCTTCGCGGGTCAAGGTCGGCCTAGGGGCACGGAGATATAGAGAAATGGGGGAGGCACACAGGTGTCGCAGAGATGGTGTTGAAGATCGTCTACTACAGTGCCCAGAGCGCGGACCACACGAGGTTAGAGGAGATTAGCTTGTACAGTCCTAGAGTAAATATCGTCGTCGTCACGAGCACGCAGAGTTACACTGACGTAGAGCACGACATACAGCAGGCATCACAGCCGAATCACATCATATTGCAGTTTGGATGGAAAGCATCAGACTACGTGAACAAGACTGTTGAGTTGCACACTTGCTGGTCCAATACGCACACGGAGTGCAACGAGCAGTGGCCCCGCCGAGATCACACGAAATCGCGGGGAGGGTCTCCAAACTGGAGCTGTTTGTTCAGGGGCAGTCGATATGCCTGTTGCCAGTGTGCTTCCCGCCGAAAGGGCACACTGGTTTCAAGAGGAAGGGCTTGCTTGAGGCCGTACAAAACAAGTTGCGCGAGGATGGCGATGCGCACCAAGAGGCCATGCAGAGCAACAGCGTCCAGGGGCGTGGGTCCACATCGGAGCGGCTATTAGAGGTGTGGTCGCAGACGCATTCCCGCCTGGGCCCAGACGCTCCCCCGAATACGAGCAGCAGCGCAACGAACGAATGGAGCTTGTGCTATAGCGAGCGAGACTGCGAGAGAGAGAGGAGCAGAAGCGACACATGAGCAGTACGCAGATGTCAACCAGCAGCTGACAGACATCACGAGGAAGCTGCAGGCAGTACGGAGGCGCAGATCTGGACCCAGGGAACGCAGCAAACGGCGGCACAACTCTACGACATGATCGAAATGTTGTCTTCGTTCGCGCGCCGTTCAAGCATATCATATTCAGACACGTAACGACGACGCGTCGGAGGTCCAGGGGCCCTGGATAAAAGGCGCCTAAAATGTCCGCTGCCATCTGAGGCTCAAGAAGGGTTTGTTTTCTGGACAGGAACTCCCAGGGCCATGGCGGCCTTCCCGCCGTTCACGTCGGTGGCGGCGGCTGCCCCCAGACCGCGCCTGTGCCGGCAGCGGCCCGGAGGAGGCGCCCCGCCGACGCCGGCGTTTGCATCCGCGGCTTGGGCCGCTCCCCCAGCGGCGGCCCGAAAGGGGGACTGCGCTGGCGCCGTGAAGCCGCCGCCTCTTGCAGAGTTGCGGTTTGGGATCGGGGGGGTCAGTCCCCCGCGGGCCTTTTGGAACGTGGATGCCACCGCGCTGGCCCGGAGCGCGGCTGGACCCGCGCCTCAGGGGGCGGGCGGATCTTGGTGGATGTCAAGGGTGCTCAGGTTCCCAGCAGCGCGCTGCACGGGATGGGTCGTTGCCCACACGCTTTGCGAGTACGGGAACGAACAAGCGATCGCGGAGGCCACCGACTGGCCGCCTTTTGCAACAAGGGCCGAGGCAGCCGGTCTTGGGCGCATAGTGCCCGCACCGCCCCCACCAAGGTAAGCTGTGGCGGTAGCTGCGTCAGCGAGCGATGGCGCCTGCGCGCTGCTGGACGAGATGGGCCAAAGGAGTATGATCGCTGCCATTGGCCGCTCTTTGCCTTCTTATTATGCTGGCATCCGGTGCTCGGCGGCGTTCGTGGAAGCTTTGGGCAGAGGCCAGCACTTCCCCGCGACGGAGCAGGATGTCATTAGATATCGCACGCTGTTCCGGCAATCGACTACTCTGAAGACCTACATGGCTCATTTGAGGTGGGCCCATCGTTTCCTCCGTTTATATGGCGATTGGTATACCGAGTCTGCGCGGCAAGTTTTGAAAGGGGCCAGAGGAGGGTGGCTGAGCCGCCGCGCCAGAGATTGGCGCTCCAGTCGCAGCAGGTCCGGAAGCTGGTGGCCCGCGCGGAGGCCCGCGACGATCTCGAGCAACCTGCTTTGTATGCGGTTGCCGGCTGCGCATGTTCCGCATGCCGTCGGAATGCGTCCCGCTCGAGACTGAAGGGGCCCATTCTTCGGTCGTCATCGAAGGCCTCAGCTTTAGCGTCTCGTTGGCTCGTCGGAAGCCCGACAGGTGGCCGGCGGTCATCCGTCGGGAGCGTTGCTGCAACCAGTCTGGGGGGTTGTTATGCGCGTTGCACTTTTGGCTCTGCAGTCGCACGCGCCCAGCGCGAAGGCCGAACCCGGGTCTTTACAAGGACTGCCGAACAGTTCGTGAAGAGCCTTCGCAGGGGCGCCGCTGATATTGGACTGCCGCAGGCCGAGGAACTGGGGCCCCATTCGCGGTGGCGGGGGATGGCCAGGGACATGGTGGACCGCGGGGGTAGCCTCGCGACTCTGCTGCGGGCTGGCGACTGGGCGAGCTCGGCTATCGCCCAGTACCTCAGGGGCAATCAGGTGGAGGAGCCCGCAGCGACGTCGCTTTGAGTTGATCATTCCGAGTCTGCGAGAGCAAGGAAAAACCAGGAAACATAACACCCAAACAAGAGCCAAACAGCCACGGGCGCTCGCGAACGATGGGCATGGCGCGCGATCGCCGGACGCTGGGGGCACAGTTGCGGTGACACGCGTGCCCTGGCCTGGCGCCAGTGCCTACCCATCGCGCGGCCAGCGCGTGGGCGCCGACAGGCATCGGCAGGTGGCAGTGGGGGTTCCACTCGGCGCGCCACGCGCGCAGCGCGTTGCTCGCATGGTGAAAGCACAAACGGCAACTGCATTGTGTGACAGTGCGTTCGAGCAAGCGCGCAAAAAGGTACGTCCCTGAACCTCGGGCGCGGGCCTGCATGCCAGGGCGCGGGCCCTGCTTTGGATGGGCGGCCGTGGGCGGGGGCCCCGGCCGCGCGCGCCAACGGAACGGCCGCCCATGCGCCGGCTTGCGGCGCTATTTCGGCGGCGAGGGCGCGGGCCTCGACCGCGCGCGCAACGGGCGGGGCCGCCCAGGCACGGGGGCGCGGGCCTGCGGCAGTGGCTTTGCGGCGAGGGCGCGGGCCCCGACCGCGAGCGCCACTCGCGGCGGCCGCCCGGGCACGGGCCTGCAGGGTCTCAGCGGCGAGGGCGCGGGCTCCGACCGCGCGCGCGAAAGGGGCGGCCACCCAGGCACGGGCTTGCGGCGCTCGTTCGGCGGCGAGGGCACGCGCCCTGGCCGCGAACAGGAAGACAGGGAAAAATCCAGCCACCCAGGCACGGGCCCGCGGGGCTGGCGCCGTGCCGGGGCGAGGGCACGGGCCCCGACCACGGTCGGCGGCGGAGGCACGGGCCCCCTGCCGAATGCAGAGGCTTCGGGCGCTGAGCCGCGCAAAGATTCGCCCCTGTGAACCGCCCCCGCCTTCCGCCCCAGATGGCATGCGCTTTATCGGATTTATCGTCGTCGTCATTATACATCCAGGCGCGACAGCCCCCCCCGCCCGACCCTCGCCTCCACGCGCAGTTGCGGCGACGCGCGTGCCCTGGCCTGGCGCCAGTGCCTGCCCATCGCGCGGCCGGCGCGTGGACGCCGACAGGCGTCGGTAGGTGGTAGCGGGGGTTTCAGCATGAGTTGGCGGGAGTTCGGAAGCAATAGAAGCGGGCGCAGATGCACGGGGTCGAGAGCTGCCCCGCGTCGACAGGGCGACGGTCAAAACAAGGATTCATCGTTGCCGTGCGGCAAGGAATGTCTGTGGCGGAGCGGGCGCGAGGCCTCCAATCGCAGCCGCGCGAAGGCGGCGCGACCGCGGGCGCCACCAGTTGGGAAACGTCATTGGAGGACGCGGACAGCTTATTTACAGCAGTGGACAGGGATCGAGCTATTCAGGTGGCCAGGGCAGATTTGGATGGGCAGCTCCGATACTTACAACGGGCGCCAAAGAGGAGAGCCACGCTGATGCGGGGGTGCATGCAGATGCCTTAATGCAGCTACTATCACAACGGTATCACACACAAGACAACCCCCGCTGCGATGGCTGGGATATAGATAGCAGTTTGCCACGCTTGTCAGAGAAACAAATGCAGCGCCGCCGAGCTTCCTGAGATCGCAGATGTTCGCGCAGGCTCAGGGTAGCGGGGAGCCAGGGATCAAAGGAAAAAGGCTGCTTCATTGTTTCGATTCATGCAGCATGAGTTGGCGTGGACAGCTAGCGCAGAGGATCAAGCCGCAGCCGAGAATCGCATCGCTCGCGCGGGGGGGAGCGGGGGGATCCCGTCGCGGCGGCGCGAGGGGGCATTACTTGGCATTCAGCTCGGCGGCGCCGCGGTGCAGAGACCTGAAGCTGAGCCGCGCGCTGAGCAATTTTGCCGGGCCGAACGCGTTCGCCAGCACATATGTATATATATATATACATACATACATACATACATGCATACATACATAGAGAGAGAGAGAGAGATAACTATAAAAAACAAACAAACAAACAAATAGGTAGGCTGGCTGGCATGGGCTGCGCAGTATGCACTGGAGTGGCTGGCCCGCCCTGGCAGCGCCGCCGAGCGCGAGGAGGCCATCCAGCGGGCTGGGTCAATTGGGCTGCGGGCCCTCGTGCACGCGTTGGTCCGCCAGGCCTGGGCCATGAAGGCGTCGGCGCGCAGGGCGGCGGTCGGGCGCCTGCTGGGCCTCTCGACGCTGGAGGAGCGGGTGCACGTGGCGGCCTTCCAGTGGGCCACAGTTGACGAGATCATGTGCACCATCACGGACATCGTCGGCGAGGCGGCGGCCAATCTCCCTGCCCCACCTGGCTTCGCGGGGCCCATCCCTGGCCTTGGCCCTGTGGGCGTGCGGGGGCCGTCCAGGAGCGCTGGGCTTCCGCGGCCCGACGGCCTCTCGGTGCTGGGCGGCTACCTGGCAGTGCGGCA